GAAGTTCACCGGAGCTGTCACAATAGCAAAAATCGCTGTTTTGCCTAGTGTGGAAGGCTGAGATACAACAGTCGGTGTAGACGTTAATAACACCAGTTTCCATTAGATCAAAAACAACTCTCTTTGCCTTAACAAGAAATGATCTATTGAAGAGGTCTTTGTTTGGTGGCATGCAGCCAAGAAACTCAGTTTTAAGAACAGATACGTTGCAATCTCATAAGACAAACTGACCCACAATAAACGGGAGGGGTATACGTCCTGCATACTTTCGAAAACCCATAAAATGCGCCGCCCTTTCATCAGTATAATCATTTATATGGCAGAGTTTGGCGCCAGGCTTTTGCTCTGGGTAGCCAGGCGTTTCAATGATAATAGATGACCGTTTTTTGTCGGCAGGCAGAAGGACTTTTTAGGAACAACCTCTGACTCAGAAAAAAGAGGAGCGTTCATCGGGAGAGGTTTATTACAAGGCTGAAGTTTCGGATACCCTGGCTCACGGTCCTCGTCTTTATGCCGTCCTTTCTTACGAGACAACTACCCGAAACGTCAGGCTTGTAATAAACTTCTCCCGGTGAACGCTCCTCTTTCTTCTAATCTACCAACCGGGAATCAAATTTTCAGCACTATTACAGCCTTAGACTTCTTTAACGTCTTTGGATTCGGGCCATTAGCGTATAAGCTCTCCGGTGTGATGCGATGCAGACGACTGGGTCAGGTCGGTCATAATAAGTCGAGGAACTCAGCGAACCATTAAGGAGATTTCGTGAGAGAATTTTTTCAAGTAAACTATGAAAAATCTAAAAAGGAAGGATATTATTTGTGGACCAAATGAACTTGGTATGCAGGCCAATAAAAGCTGGATAAAGTTAACTGATTCCTATGACCCAAAGTTACATTCTCCGGTTCTTTTCCATAAGGAAATTGATCGGTCACTTAGTCTAATAATTCAAAAAATTTAAAAATAACAATTTAAGTCTGAAAGCAGCAACCACACAACATAGATAGCAGGAGAGGAATAGATTTAAATGATTCGGCAAAATCAAGGAAAATGTGTTAGTGAATAAACGATACTTATCAGCGACATATGTAAAAGAGTCATTATGCAAGTATTTTTCAAAACTTCTTAGCGTTTTAAGAGCAGCCGAGACTTTCATACACATGGTGAATAAGAGGAACCCTAAGTACTTTTATTATGAATTCGGATTTAGCATGGAGCAGCATGACGCAGAATACAGGACAAACACTTATTCGCTGCTGATATATTAAGTTTTTAAATGAAGACAGGCAAAACTTACCCACTTGTGATCGTAGCTGACAGGACCTAAGCCCAGGTTTTAAATGTCAACTCAGTGACAAAGTGGACCCGTGTCTCAACCTTGAATCTTCATAGCTCTCGATGTATTAAATGATATAAAGAACATAAGCAAGAAATGGCAACCCCAGTTACCTACCTTTTTGTCGATAGGACGTATCAAATTAGGTTGAGTGAGTCAGCTCAAAAACTGTTTTCCAACTCAGAAATCTGAGTGTTGTGAATGATCACTAGAGATGTATAAAAATTTCCTACTTATGTCCAGGAAGACGATTTGAGTGCTATCTTACCATAGTGGTTAACTCCCTTCATTTCTGCCCTATCTCTTAATTCACACGGTTCACAGACTTCAAATTAATCTCACACCAGTACTACAGCTACGTTGTCCTGGTGCTTATGTTTATCCCTTCCTTCAGCCCATTCACCAACAACAATAGCAGTCATGGGTGGCAAACGGCAGTTGGTTCGGTAAGGATTACTCATATGGTCCTCTAAACAGGACATGAGCACAGGAACCATCCACAAGACAGGTGACTCTACGTCAAATTGCATATAAATTATGGTTAGGTTTACAGTCAGAGTTGGGTTTAAGGGGTGGATTAGGATAAGTTGGCATTAGAATGTTAGGAATTACGGTTAAGATTAGGACTAGAGTTTAGGTTAGTGTTAAGGCTAATGATAAGATGTGGACGCGAGAATATTTGACTTCTTGGACTTAAGCGCAGGGTCACCTTTATTAATTAGGCAGGACGTTTAGAGAGACATATAAGCCATCCTTACTGCTGGTTCCTCTGCCTGCTTCCACCCTGCTTGCCCGTGTTCCTGAAGCAACTTCATCCTATTTTCATGTCTACACACTACTGTCGTCGCCTGCATTCCTAAGGTGGTGTAGGCAGTGTAGGGCAGGGTACATGTTTGTGCCAAACCTACACAGAAGAGCGGCTTCGGGAATCAACTTCCTTCAGTGGCACGGGAGCGATGCAAAATCGCCTTTATGTCGCGGCGTTCATTTAGTCGCCTGTAGCTTTGGCAAACTCGGCGCTGTTCCTTTTCTGTGTGCGGCGTCTACGTTACCAGGCCGCTGCACGTATGAAAACGGCAGCGGCGCAAAACTATGCGACCTGACATAGGGCCTAAAAACAACTGTCCACGTATGATGTGAAACTTTGATCGTACAGTGTGGCAGCCAAACCTCAGTTACCACTTCGACTTGAGAATCTAAGCAGACGAGGGTATTGCCGATGAAATTGTGCTTGGCCTGAATCGGTCAGAAGAGAAGGGATAGCTATGTTC